CCTTCCTTCCTTCCTTCCTTCCTTCCTTCCTTCCTTCCTTCCTTCCTCCCTCCCTCCCTCCCTCCCTCCCTCCCTCCCTCCGTCCCTCCCTCCCTCCGTCCCTCCCCTCCGTCCCTCTCTTTTTTTTTTTTGGATGGAGTCTTGCTGTGTCACCCAGGCTGGAGTGCAGGGGCGTGATCTCAGCTCACTGCAACCCCCGCCTCCCGGGTTCAAGTGATTCTCCTGCCTCAGCCTCCCGAGTAGCTGAGACTACAGGCATGTACCACCACCCCCAGCTGATTTTTTGTGTTTTCATTAGAGACGGATTTCACCATGTTTGCCAGGATGGTCTCTATCTCTTGACCTTGTGATCCACCCGCCTCAGCCTTCCAAAGTGCTGGGATTACAGGTGTGAGCCATCATGCCTGGCCAGAGGTTTATTTATTTCTAATGTGCAGGCACACATTGATTGGAAACCAGTGGAGACAGGGAAGCCAATTAGGAATATATTGTAGAAGAATACAAGTAATGGGCCTAATCAGAAATGGCCTTGGAAACAGAAAGAAGGTAATAGTAATTTTAAGGGAAGTTGTAGAGTAGTAATCTACCTGAAAATAATCATTCAGTCAACATATATTAAACACTATGTTTCGATCACTGTATTGATTGTGTGGCATAAAGGGCTAAATAGAATATATAGTCCCCACCCTCAAGGAGTGCACAGGCCAAATAGGGATTCAAGTGAGTCTGCAGATGACTGTGGATCTCTGACAGCTGTACCTAAAGTACTAAGGAGCTAAGAAGGCAGTGATAAACATGTCAAAGAAACCACCTCAAAGGCAGTGATATTTGATCTGAGTCTTAAGGATGAAACTATGGGTAAGATAATCAGATGTATTCCTTGACCTCATCTTGATTTTTCTCCTTGTATCCCACATTGAGTTATTTGACAAATCCAGCTCTATCTTCAAAATGTATCTAGAATTCAACCATTTCTCTTCACTTCTGTTTCTACCACTTGGAGTAGACTAAAAGTGATTTCTCTCCTGAATTACTGCTCAGGACTACTCTCCTGCTTCTGTCCTTGCCCTCCTGGAGTTTATTCTAAAGACAGGTGATAGAGTAGTCCTGCTCATGTCATATTCCTGCTCAGAAGCCTTCTATGACTTTCCCTCTCATTCAGAGTAGAAGCCAATTCCTTAATGATATGGTTTGGCTCTGTGACCCCACCCAAATCTCATGTTGAATTGTAATCCCCAGTGCTGGAGGTGGGGCCTGGTGGGAGGTGATTGGATCATGGGGGTGTTTTCTAATGGTTTAGCATCATCTCCTAGTGCTGTCTTGTGATAGAGTTCTCATGAGATCTGGTCGTTTAAAAGTGTGTAGCAACTCTGGCTTTGCCCTTCCATCTCTTTCACCCATGTAGGATGTGCCAGTCTCGCCTTCCACCATGATTGCAAGTTTCCTGAGGCCTTCCCAGCTGTGCTTCCTTACAGCCTGTGGAACCATGAGCCAATTAAACTTCTTTTCTTTATAAATTACCCAGTCAATGCAAGAATGGACTAATACATTAGACTCTATGTGATCTGGTGCCTCTATTACCTCTAACTTTCTTTCTCAGAACTCTTCCCTTGTTCTCTCTGCTTTGGCCTCACTGACCTCCATGCTATTTGTTGACATTTCTGTGCCCATACCCACTTCAGGGCTGTTGTATTTCCCTTCCCCTCTGCCTGGAATGCTTGTCCCCTAAATACCCATATGGTTATCTCTCTTACTTCCTCAAAAGTTTCAGTGAGGCCTTCCATAGCCACCCTACATAAAATTTCAACATTTCATATCCTCTTTTCCTGCTTTATTTTTTTTTTTTTCCATAGCATATGGTCAGTACCTAACCATACTATGTATTTTACTTATTTATCCGATTTATTACCTGTCTTCCTCACTAGAGTGTAAGCTCTATGAAAGTAGGGACATTTTTCTGTTTTGTTCACTATTCTATCCCCAGCACTAAGAACAATATCTGGCACAAAGCAAGAGTTTAATATATGTTCGTGAATGAATGAATGAATGTTTCTGTTGTGCTAGGTGCTATGAGGAACCCAGAAAATATTTAAATTACAACTAAAATATGGAAATCACTATAATTTAGAAATACAGAATAGAAGTATGTTATAATTCTAGAAGATGAAATGCCAGATAATTGGAATCATATTTTCCAAACCCTTCTTTCTTTACAAAATTTTGTCAGAATTAATAATATGGCATCATCTCTAAAGCACTGAATGTAATTGTTACTCTCTATCAGTTAAGAGGAATTTTCCCTTGCCTTTTCACATATTTAAGTTGTAGCATCAGTTCCTAGCTGGAACTCTGAAACTGTGCCTTGGCCTCCATCATTAATTCATGAAACCCTTTGTGTGTTTTCAGGTTTGAAGCAGCCAAGCTTGTCATGCAGTGGCTCTGCAACCATGAGGATCAAAATATGCAAAGGATGGCAGTTGCTATCATTTCCATCCTGGCTGCCAAGGTACCTGAACTCTTGATGAATAATTTTCTGTAGGCAGCTGTTTCTCACTACATTTACTGTTTCCCGCCAAAATCTGTGTGCCAGAAAGATTAGTAAATCTCTCTGCCAACCTACTTATTCAAGCTACATTCGATATTGCAGAATTTGGCTGGGCACAGTGGTTCATGCCTGTAATCCCAGCACTTTGGGAGGCCGAGGCAGGCCTCCCAAAAACAGATATATGGCAGAATTCCAAGTTGATCAGAGATTTTAGTCTGACCTTTGGAGTCAGGTACAGTGAATGATATTAAACTCACATTAGCGAGTTCTTGGACATTGAATTTGTTTTTTACTTGCTTGCAGCTTTCTACAGAACAAACTGCACAGCTTGGTACTGAGCTCTTCATTGTCAGGGTAAGTCTATAATCTCCTTCATGCAGGCTGCTAGATATTCATGTGTATTGTTTTCAGGCAGTATTATATATTTTCTGACTCTCTCTCTCTCTCTCTCTCTCTCTCTATATATATATATATATATTTTTTTTTTTGAGATGGAGTCTCGCACTGTCATCCAGGCTGGGGTGCAGTGGTGCGATATCGGCTCACTGCAACCTCTGCCTCGTGGATTCATGCCATTCTTCTGCCTCAGCCTCCTGAGTAGCTGGGACTACAGGCGCCCGCCACCACGACTGGCTAATTTTTTTTTTTTTTTTTTGTATTTTTAGTAGAGACAAGGTTTCACCGTGTTAGCCAGGATGGTCTTGATCTCCTGACTTTGTGATCCACCCGCCTCGGTCTCCCAAAGTGCTGGGATTACAGACGTGAGCCATCGCGCCCAGCCGACATTTTATATTTTAGTAAAAACTTTCTGTGACCAGGCATGTGGTGACTCACACCTGTAATCCTAGCAGTTTGGGAGGCCAAGGCAGGAGGGGGTCACTTGAGGCCAGGAGTTTAAGAACAGTCTGGGCAATAGAATGGGACCCCTTCTCTACCAAAAAAAAAAAAAGTTGGACATTGTGGCGCATGCCTGTGGTTCCAGCTACTCCAGAGGCTGAGGTGGGAGGATCCCTTGAGTCCAAGAGGTCAAGGCTGCAGTGAGCCGTGATCGTGTCACTGCACTCCAGCCTGGGTGACAGAGTGAGACCCTTTCTCAAAACAAAACAAAAAAAATTTTTTTTGGATACTTCTAAAGAAGTGTATTTATTTATTTTCATATATGCAGCTTTACTCCTTAACAGAAATGGAAAAAACCCTGAACTAGGAGTCAGATGACCTAGAATCTAGCTTGTAAACTCACTTTGTGAATTTGGGAAAATTACTTGAACCATTGGGGTCTACATAAGTATTAAGATCCTATCTAAGACCAGGCACAGTGGTTATGCCTGTAATCCCAGCATTTTGGGAGGCCGAGGCAGGAGGATTGCTTGAGCCCAGGAGTTCAAGACCAGCCTGGGCAATATAATGAGACCTCGTCTATACAAATAATTTAAAAATTAGCCAGGCATGGTAGCACATGTCTGTGGTCCCAGCTACTCAGGAGGCTAAGGTGGAAGAATTGCTTGAGCCCAAGTGGTCAGGGTTGCAGTTGGCCATAATGACACCACTGCACTCCAGCCTGGGTCATAGAGCAAGACCCTGTCTCCAGAAAAAAACAAAACACCTATCTAATTGTAAAACTCTGTGATTTTTGTTATTTATATAGAAAATGTAGAGACTCTATTACACGCATAAGGTTGTGCTTTATGCTTTGCGGAAGCAGATAATTTAAATATCTGATATATGATTTTGCTTGCTTATAATCAGTTGAGGAAATAAGACTTTAAAAAGCTTTAAAGGGAGTAGATATAAAAAATGTCTTAGGGAAGACTTAGAGGCAAAAAGTATATTTAAACATGCCTGTTAAAATCCTGGCATGAGGTGTTTGAATAGTAATACTACATAGAAAAGTCAAATAAGAGACTCCCTTTTTCCATGACTTGTAAATTATGTATATAATGAGAAAGGAAACCATTCATTTGATAAATATGTATAGAGTACCCATGATATCAAATGAATGATACTTGGTGCCTTACAAGATGTTAGGGAATTCACACTGAATTATAATTATGTAATTAGAATTCACACTGAATTATATCTGTAAATTCTACCCATAACAAACAGTACAATAGAAAAAAAAACAGCTATGTAGATATGGTTGTAACAAAATCTAAAAAGTATAGTAATAGAGATAAGAATGAAAAAAAATAGGCCGGGCACGGTGGCTCACACCTGTAATCCCAGCACCTTTGGAGGCCAACCAAGGCAGGTGGATCACGAGGTCAGGAGATTGAGACCATCCTGGCTAACACTGTGAAACCCCATCTCTACTAAAAATACAAAAAATTTGCCGGGTGTGGCGGCAGGCATCTGTAGTCCCAGCTACTCGGGAAGCTGAGGCAGGAGAATGGTGTGAACCCGGGAGGCGGAGCTTGCAGTGAGCCGAGATAGTGCCACTGCACTCCAGCCTGGGCAACACAGCGAGACTCCGTCTCAAAAAAAAAAAGAATGAAAAAAGTAGCCGGATGTGGTGGCTCACGCCTGTAATTTGGGAGGCTGAGGTGGACGGATCATGAGGTCAGGAGTTCGAGACCAGCCTGACCAAAATGGTGAAACCCCATCTCTACTTAAAAATACAAAATACAAAAATTAGCCGGGCATAGTGGTACACGCCTATAATCCCAGCCACTCAGGAGACTAAGGCAGGAGAATCACTTGAACCCGGGAGGTGGAGGTTGCAGTGAGCCGAGATTGGGCCACTGCACTCCAGCCTGGGCAAGAGTGAGACTCCCTCTCAAAAAACAAAAAGAATGAGCAAAATAATGTTATAAAGAAAGAGAAGACTATTCGGGAATAATGGAAAGAGTAGGAATTCTGGAGTTGACATATCTGGATTTATTCTCAATTCTGTCTCTTACTAGCCATGTATTTTGGGCAAATCACAGTTTTCTTTGGGGTGATAAAAAATACTTAATACACTTACTATGAAAGTTAAATGAGAAGAAAAGCTCATGCTTGTAATCCCAGCACTTTGGGAGGCTGAGGTGGGAGGATCACCTAAAGCCAGGAATTTGAGACCAGCATGGTCAACATAGCAAGATTCTGGCTTTAACCAAAAAAAAAAAAAAAAAAAAAATTAGCCGGGCATGGTGGCATGCACCTGTAGTCTCAGCTACTCAGGAGGTTGAAGCAAGAGGATCGCTTGAGCTGGGGAGTTCGAGTCTGCAGTGAGCTATAATTGTGTCACCGTACTCCAGCCTGAGTGATAGAGTGGGATCCCATGTCAAAAAGGAAAGAAAAAAAAAGAAAAATGGTTAATTAAGGTAGTATATGCTAATTACCTAACACTAAATATAATATACATTAGAGAAGTAGAAAAAGATGCTCATTTTGTTTATTTTACTATTTTCAGGGGTAACAGTTTTTAAAAATCGCCTCTTATTGCTATTTATGTCTCTCAGTAATTTTGATATCTTCAAAGATTTTAAAGGAAATGTACCCATGCTTTGGGAGGAAATCAAGCTTAAAGAAGGAATTAGTAGGCCGGGCACGGTGGCTCATACCTGTAATCCTAGCACTTTGGTAGGCTGAGGTGGGTGGATGACCTGAGATCACGAGTTCGAGACCATCGTGGCCAACATGGTGAAAACCCATCTCTACTAAAAATACAAAAATTAGCCAGGCGTGGTGGCATGTGCCTATAATCCCAGCTACTTGGGAGGCTGAGGCAGGAGAATCACTTGAACCCAGGGGGCGGAGGTTGCAGTGAGCTGAGATTGCGTCACTTCGCTCCAGCCTGGGCGAAAGAGCAAGACTCTCTCCCAAAACAAACAAACAAAAAAGGAATTAGTAATAATAGTGATGATTATTATAACTAAATTTTTCTCCCCTGCTCTTAATTACCACCTGCAATCTATAGATGAGGAAACAAACTGGTAAATGAGGTTGTGCAGTTAGTCAGATGCAGAGATTTAAGCTCAGGTAGATTTCTTCTAGTGCCACACTCTTAGCTACTATGCTGTTAACTTACCTAACTGTACCTACGTGTTTGTGTTTCTTCAGATTTTTTTTCTGAATTGTGTATAGCCTCTAGTATTATGTTCATTAATGTTTTCTTATATCTGTTTTAGCAGAGCTTCCTTTTTTACCTCCAAAAGTATAATCTAAAAATTGAATTGTGGATGCCTTATGTAGTTTTAAAACCACTTACTTTTAAAACATACATTTTTTAGGGTAAAGCTATGATAGAACTAATTTACACTTGGAATTTCAAAGCTATTATCTTGTTTTTTGAAAGGGAGGAAGGGGAAAAGGACATGAAAAGGGAAGGGGAAAGGGGGAAAAATAAAAAGCAAGACAGGCACTGCAGCATCTGCTGTCAGGGAAGGCTGAAGAGGGAGGGGCTGTTATCTTATTTATAGTCAATATAGACTTTAATTCTCTCATCATTGTATGTAGTTTTTCCTTTCTTTTGTTTCTTAAGGAAAAGTTAGAGTTGAATAGTTTAGGTCTTCCTATTCTTACTTTCTCTGACTAAATTGACTATGAACAAATTAGTTAATATTTCTCAGACTCAACTTTCCTAAAAAATGGGAATAACAGTACTACAATATAGAATATAATTTGCTAATCCTTCGTAAGTGTTAGCTTCATTTGCCCTTCTCTTCCTTAACCTTTTTAATTCTAGAATCTAAAATAAGTATATGCTGTGACTGAATGAGTAAGATAGTTGACCCAAGTTTTAATCATTTTGCCTCTAAGTGTTATTTATGGGTGATTACTTTGTAGGTATGACCAGAATAATGTAGAAGTATTTATGAAAATCTTATACTTTTTTCTTGAAGAAAAGTTCAGTCCAAGGGGCTGTTTATTATAAGTACCTTTACAGGAAATGCTTTAAGCCATGAAACTAATCCTCATGGACTTGTGGTTATTAATAACCACAAATTGTAATAGTCCAAAAATGAAAACTTAATTCTGTTTTTTTTTTTTTTTTCCAGCAACTTCTTCAAATAGTGAAGCAGAAAACCAATCAAAATTCAGTGGACACTACGTTGAAATTTACTTTGAGTGCACTTTGGAACCTCACAGATGAATCCCCAACCACTTGTAGACACTTTATTGAAAACCAAGGGTTAGAGCTCTTCATGAGGGTTCTAGAGGTTAGGATGGGAATTTAGCTTACAGTTTTGATATTTATTAATTTATTTACTTTAGCATTTATTTTATATTTGGTTCTTTAACTAATTATAAGTTTCTCTTTCTTTTTACAGTCTTTCCCAACTGAGTCATCCATTCAGCAGAAAGTTCTAGGACTTTTGGTAAGATACAAGCACTTCCTGCTAAGTTCCAAGCTGTATTTATTTTCTGTCTGAAGTAACACATTGAAAGTTGCAGCTCTGCAGTGGCAGTATCATAGCCAATGAGGTCTATCCAAGGCACAGTCATTGCTAACTGAGAACTATTCCCAATACCTCGCCATGATGACTTGAAATATGGTCTGCAATGGCAATTTCTTTCTTTCTTTCTTTTTTTTTTTTTTTTTTTGAGACAGGGTCTCACTTTGTTGCCCACGCTGGAGTGCAGTGGTGTGATCACAGCTCACTGCAGCCTTGACCTGCTGAGCTCAAGCGGTTCCCCTAACTCAGTCTCCCTAGTAGGTGGGACCATGGGCATGTGCCACAATGCCCAGCTAATTTTTGTACTTTTTGTAGAGGTGGGGTTTTGCCATGTTGCCCAGGCTGGTCTCAAACTCCTGAGCTCAACCAGTCCTCCTCCTACCTTGGCCTCCCATAGTGCTGGGAATGTAGGCATGAGCTGCCTGGTCAGCAGTGGCAAGTTTTGACAATTTCTAGGTGAATGAAGAAAAAAAGAAAGAGAGAGAGAAAGAAAGTAAGTTGCTGCTATGATACTTGTAAACAATGACATTGGAAAATAAATATTACTAAATTTAAAAAGACTGTAAAAATATATCATGAGGTCAGGAGATCAAGACCATCCTGGCTAACATGGTGAAACCCCATCTCTACTAAAAATACAAAAAATTAGCAGGATGTGGTGGCACGCGCCTGTAGTCCCAGCTACTCCGGAGGCTGAGGCAGGAGAATTGCTTGAACCCAGGAGGCAGAGCTTGCAGTGAGCCGAGATCACACCATTGCACTCTAGCCTGGGCAACAGAGCAAGACTCCGTCTCAAAAAAAAATCCCACAAATTTGAGAGGCCTAGGTGGGCAGATCACCTGAGGTCAGGAGTTCGTGAACAGCCCAGCCAACATGGTGAAACCCCGTCTCTACTAAAAACACAAAAATTAGCCGGGCGTGGCGGCAGGTGCCTGTAATCCCAGCTACTTGGGAGGCTGAGGCAGGAGAACTGCTTGAATCTGGGAGATGGAGGTTGCAGTGAGCCAAGACCACACCATTACCCTCCAGTCTGGGCAATAAGAGCGAAATTCCATCTCAAAAAAGAAAAAAGAACCACAACTTTTATATGTATATATACATATATACACACACATACACACACACACACACAAAGATTTTTGCCACAGTAAAAGGAAAAATACGTATATGCTTCTTTATGTTTTTTGGTATTATATGAAGTTTCACACTGAGCATGTTTTACTTTTTTTAATTTATTTTTGAGACAGAGTCTGTCACTCTGCTGTCCATGTGGAGTGCAGTGGCACAATCATGGCTCACTGCAGCCTCGACCTGCCAGGCTCAAGTGGTTTTCTCACCTTAGCCTCCAGATGCCCAGTTTATTTATTTATTTATTTTGCGGTCTTGCCATGTTGCCCAGGCTGGTCTCAAATTCCTGGGCTCAAGCAGTCTTCCTGCCTCAGCCTCCCAAAGTGCTGGGATTACAGGCATGAGCCACCACACTTGGCCTCGTGTTTCACTTTTATAATTTAGAAAAACAGATCTCATTAAAAAATGTTATCAGGCTGGACATAGTGACTCATGCCTGTAATCCCAACACTTTGGAAGGATGAGGTAAGAGAATTGCTTGAGCCTAGGAGTTTGAGACCAGCCTGGGCAACGAAGCACAACCCGATCTCTACAAAAAATAAAATAAGAAAATTAGCTGAACATGGTGACTTGCACCTGTAGTTCCAGCTAGTGGGGAAGCTCAAGCAGGAGGATCGCTTGAGCCTAGCAGTTTGAGGGCTGCAGTGAGCTATGCTCATCCCACTGCACACCAGCTTGGGTGGTAGAGTGAGACCTGGTCTCTTAAAAATAAAAGTCATTAACCTACAAGTGTTCTTAGATTCTGTGTTTGATAGTTAATGATTACTACTTAAAGACTGCTTACAAAGGCCAGGCACAGTGGCTCATGCCTGTAATCCCAGCACTTTGGGAGGGTGAGGCAGGCGGATCACCTGAGGTCAGGAATTTGAGACCAGCCTACCCAACATAGTGAAACCCCATGTCTATTAAAAATACAAAAGTTAGCCGGATGTGCTGGTGCACACCTATAATCCCAGCTACTCAGGAGGCTGAGGCATGAGAATCACTTGAACCTGGGAGGTGGAGGTTGCTGTGAGCCGAGATTGTACCATTGCACTCCAGTCTGGGCAACAGAGCAAGACTGTCTCAAAAAAAAAACAAAACAGCCGGGCGCGGTGGCTCACGCCTGTAATCCCAGCACTTTGGGAGGCCGAGACGGGCGGATCACGAGGTCAGCAGATCGAGACCATCCTCGCTAACACGGTGAAACCCCGTCTCTACTAAAAATACGAAAAAAAAAAAACTAGCCGGGCGTAGTGGCGGGCGCCTGTAGTCCCAGCTACTTGGGAGGCTGAGGCAGGAGAATGGCGAGAACCCGGGAGGCGGAGCTTGCAGTGAGCCGAAATCGCGCCACCGCACTCCAGCCTGGGAGACTGAGCAAGACTCCGTCTCAAAAAAAAAAAAAAAAAAAAAAAAAAAAAAAACAAAAAACCTGCTTGCAAATCACATATGTCTTAATATGTTACATATAGATTAAAGTAAGCCCTCTAGGATTTTGAGACAAAGGTAAAAGATCAAATGTTTTGTCAGCTTAAATTGCTGCAACAGGCAAAGTGCCTATGTGGCAAAAGCCATTTTAGTTTATTTTTTATTTTTGAAAAAAAATACTGGTCGGGTGCAGTGGCTCACGCCTATAATCCCAGCACTTTGGGAGGCTGAGGCGGTGGATCACCTGAGGTCGGGAGTTCGAGAACAGTGTGACCAAATGAAGAAATCTTGTTGCTACTAAAAATACAAAATTAGCCGGGTATAGAGGCGCATATCTGTAATCCCAGCTGTTCGAGAGGCTAAGGCAGGAGAATCACTTGAACCCAGAAGGTGGAGGTTGCTGTGAGGCAAGATCGCGCCATTGTGTTCCAGCCTGGGCAACAAGAGTGAAACTCTGTCTCAAAAAAAAAAAAAAAAAAAATGGAGCACTTCGCAAATTTACATGTATCCCTGCACAGGGGCCATGCTAATGTTCACTGTACCGTTCCAATTTTAGTATGTATGCTGCCAAGCGAGCACACAAAAGCAGACCTCTGCTCTCAAGGAATTAGATTATGGAAAGCATAGATTAGTGAGTTAAAAAATGTAAATTGGAGCTTGTTTTCCACATGCAAGCAGTGAGGAGATGGATTTTTAGGAAAGCTGAGGACTGCCATTTAAGGAGGACCTATCTGTTCGTTGTAGCCTTCATTATATAAGGTAGAAAATGGAAAACAACCTAAATGTCCAGCAGTAGAGGAATTATTAAATAAATAACAGCATTTGATTATTTTATTCAGGGTTAATATGATTATTTGATAGAGAAGTTGGCTTCGGTCACCTGAAAGGTGGAATTTATTTATTTATTTATTTTTTTTTTTGAGACGGAGTCTTGCTCTGTCGCCCGAGCTGGAGTGCAGTGGCCGGATCTCAGCTCACTGCAAGCTCCACCTCCCGGGTTTACGCCATTCTCCTGCCTCAGCCTCCCGAGTAGCTGGGACTACAGGCACCAGCCACCTCGCCTGGCTAGCTTTTTGTATTTTTTTAGTAGAGACGGGGTTTCACCGTGTTAGCCAGGATGGTCTCGATCTCCTGACCTCGTGATCCGCCCATCTCGGCCTCCCAAAGTGCTGGGATTACAGGCTTGAGCCACCACGCCCGGCGAAAGGTGGAATTTATTTTAAGTATTTGTGGGTCGGGTACAGTAGCTCACGCCTGTAATCACAGCACTTAGGGAGGCTGAGGTGGGTGGATCACAGGTGGTCAGGAGTTCAAGACCAGCCTAGCCAACATGGTGAAATCCCATTTCCACTGAAAATACAAAAATTAGCCAGGCGTGGTGGCACATGCCTGTCCCAACTACTCAGAAAGCTGAAGCAGGAGAATTGCTTGAACCTAGGAGGCAGAGGCTGCAGTGAGCCAAGATTGCGCCACTGCACTCCAAGCCTGGGCAACAGAGCAAGACTCTGTCTCAAAAAAAACTGAAACAACAACAACAACAAAAAAAGATTCCATCTCAAAAAAAGAAAACAAAAAAAACCTATACTATTTTTAAATTTCAAAAGGAATACATGTTTATTATAACTAGTGAAACAGTGCAAAAATGTATTTAACATCCTTAAGGCTCTGTCTCCAACTTTTCATCATTTTTATCTCCGTGAAGTTATTAATGTTAATATAACTTTATATGTTTACTTCCATATTTTTCTCTATTACCTTGTGATTAAATTGTTTCAATAATTTGAGATATTCTAATTTAATTCTTTATGGTGAGAGAATATGCTTTGTTTGGTTTGAGTCCTTCTGAATTTATTGAGACTTGTGTATGGCCAAGGATATGGTCTATTTTGGTAAATATTCCATATACACTTGAGAGGAATGGGTATGGTCTTATTATTGGGTATAGTGTTCTATAAATGACAATCGGGTCACTGATTGTTAATTAGCTTGATTAATTAGCACTAATTAATAATTAGATTGTACAGTGTCACAGTTGACACTGTACAACTCTACCACATCCTTACTAATTTTCTAATTTTACCCATTCTATCAATTATTGACAAAGGAGTTTTGAAATCTCTGACTATAATTGTAGATGTGTATTTCTCCTTACAGTTCTATCAGCTTTTTCTTCATGTATTTTGAAACTCTATTATTAGATGTATAAACATTTAGAATTATGTCCTCCTGATTAATGGACTCCTGTGACATTACCAAATGACTTTCTTTACCCCTGGTAATATCCTCTACTTTGAAGTCTGCTTTGGTACTGATATAGCCATCTGTACTTTCTTTTGTCTAGTGTTAGCATAGTATTTCTTGTTTTATCCTTTTACTTTTACCCAATA